GCCACAGCGCCAGCCCCCTTAAACAATTTCTGGATGTTTCATCCCAAATTTCCACCATTCTCACTGTGGTTGGGTCTAAGCCAGAACCTTCCTTACAAAGCTATGGCGTCTCCTAGGTGCTGCACTCTGTCCTGCAGAGTGAGACCCTTGAATTGTAAGTCACATTTTCCTTCCTATTTTTCATAAAGATGTTACCAGGTATGTCAACCAGTAGTATTAATACTCAGTGTATCTGAATTATTTCACCAAGAAGTAACATGAGGACAGGGGTAATGGTGAATGAAGAAGTCCTTTATGAAATAGGTGGGAAATAAATTTTAATGAAAATACATGATGCAAAGTTGAGGAGGTGAGGAACCCTGCCAACATCCAATGTTCAGCATTTAAACCAGCTTGGTTACTGTTTACTGATGAGACCTGAGGATCTGGGGACCTGGAAGGGTTTGTGAGTGCATGAGTGTATGTGTGTGTGTGTGTATGTGTGTGTGTGTGTGTAATGTGTCTCTGTAGTTTGCATGAAAATATCCACAGCATAATTTAGTAAGCTCACTCTCCAAAGCAAGAGAGCTATCTAGACCAAACCTCTGGGTTCAGACAATACAGTACCCTGAAGAATTCTGGCATCCCAGCCTCTGTTAGACAAGTGAGCACAGAGTACATGGAAGAAACACCCTTCTCTGGTGGGGACTTTCAGGTGACATGACATTAAACAACAGCATTACTGTGCATGGGTCCCAGTTATAACTGCATGTAACAATGTGCCTGTATATTACTATGCTATTCTCTGTGACCCAAAGGAAAGCAGCTTTTCAGAATCATTTATTATACTCCAGGGGAAAATCAGAATAGAGAAGCATACAATAATGAGAAGAAATTAATGTTTTAACTTAATAAATTCCACTAGAGCTTACTATGTTTTTTTTTTTTTTGCAGATTTTTGGTATTTCTGTAATTCTTTCTATACCTACCTTTATAAAGTCACTTTCTCCAAATACGAATCTGTATATTTTCTTTTGTACTAAACAAAAAACTAATAAGAAAAAAAATGGAAATTTAAGGTCAATATGATGTCATGATTTTCTTTTCATAGGAAAACTTAGAAGCTTCTATTGAATTGGAAATGTTTTGTAATTAATGTTTCATTTTAAAATACTTCTGGTTAATTACAAAAAAAGAAGATTCAGTTAGCAAGAGAAAAGATATTTTATTCAAAATTTAAGCTCAAATATGAAGAAGTTACAACACATAATTTCTTGATAGTGACTATGCCTTAAGAGTGCATATAAACTGAACAATCAATTAAAAGACAAAGAAAGAAGTTCTTTCAATGAATTAGCACTACTCAGAATACCTGAGATGGCTATTCATCAAAAGTAGGAAGTGTTTTTAATGAGAGCCATAACAGAAATAAGGTAGTGTAGTGATGTTGTAAACCATGATTATGACTATGAATTAGGCACCATTAAACAGTGAGGCAGCCTAGCACATCGGTTAAAGTCTCAGATGCTAAAGTTACATCTTTTGGAGTTCTGGGTCTACTACTTAAGATGTGTGCGTGTGTCTCAGCTTGAAAAATTTATGCAATATTAAAAGCTAACGAGGCCACATTTTCATGGAGTTGTTCTGTGGTATACATTAATCACAGTAAGTGTAAGCAAATTTGAATCTAATATATATTAGGCATTCAATTATTTGTTGTAGTTGTGTCATGTGACTAAAGTGACTATGAAAAACAGTGAAAGAAAAGACACTATCTTTTCCTTTTTTGAGATGTTCTTGGCAACAGGAGGGGGAGACTAATTGTGATTCATTTTTAGGGAAAATGGTTAACAAGGCTCTAGGTTTAAAGACATAAGTACTCATTTACTAAAATAGGGTTTAAATATTAGCATGTACCTTATGTGAACACCGTCATGCTGCTTGTACCTGGGAGTGGGCATAAGAGGGGAAGATGTGGAATTTTCTCTGCATCTTCCATTGACTTCTAAGGAACAGACTTTCCAAAGTAGGGGAGCTGAGTATGTACAAGAAGTATAGCTCAAAAAAGTGCTAGTGGATCGTTCTCTCCGTTTTTGATTCTATCAGTTAGTATTAGCAGACACTAGTCTTGTTTGTGTGATCCCTTTGACTCTTAGACCTATCAGTGTGATCAATTGTGAACTGAAATTGATCACTTGGACTAGTGAGATGGCATTGGCACATGCCACCTTGATGGGATTGTATTGGCATCCCCTGGCTGTCCATCATGGGAAGCGGGATACACAGCAAACTCATAGAATGGCAGATGTCCTAAATAGCACTCTGGCCTCAGAATCAGCCCTTAAGGCATTCGGATATGGCTGAAGAGCCCATGAGAGTATTTTAGGCATGGAAAGCCAAGACACTCTGGAAAAAAAAAAAAACACCTAAATGAAAGATCTCTGTGAGTGAGATCCCAGTGGAAAGAATGGGGCCATCAAAGAAGGAGGTACCTTTCTCTGAAGGGAGTGAAGGGAGGAGAGAACTTCCACTTTGACTATGACCCTGTTGGAATAAGATTGAAGTTGGCGAACTCAAAAGGCTTCCATAGCCTTGGCAACTCATGACTAGAGCCTAGGGAGATTACTGACGCCATAAACAAGAGTGTCAAATTGTTAAGTCAACAACAGGAGTCACTGTGTACTTACTCCTCATGCGGGATCTGTCCTTAATGTGTTGCCCAATGTGAAGTAATGCTATAACTAGTACTGAAACAGTATTTTACACTTTGTGTTTCTGTGTGGGTGCAAACTGATGAAATCTTTACTTAATATTTACTAAATTGATCCTCTGTATATAAAGATAATTGAAAATGAATCTTGATGTGAATGGAATGGGAGAGGGAGCGGGAGATGGGAGGGGTGTGAGTGGGAGGAAAATTATGGGGGGGAAAGCCATTGTAATCCATAAACTGTACTTTAGGAATTTATATTTACTAAAGAAAAAAAAAGCGTTGGTGACTCAGGCACTTCATTTCCCATTTTTGATTGACCGAATCAAGGACATAAACTGGTTTCACTTCCCATTCAAATCTGATAAATGGATAATTCCTTCCTTAACTCTGAAACTGTGCATTACAGGTGCTACCATCAGGGTAAGTACTGGGTGTTTTAGCATAATTATTATTTTTTTTTGACAGGCAGAATTAGACAGTGAGAGAGAGATAAAGAGAGAAAAGTCTTCCTTCTGTTGGTTCACCCCCAAATGGCCGCTATGGCTGGCACGCTGTGCAGATCAAAGCCAGGAGTCAGGTGCTTCCTCCTGGTCTCCCATGCGGGTGAAGAACCCAAGCACTTGGGCCATCCTCCACTGCCCTCCCGGGCCACAGCGGAGAGCTGGACTGGAAGAGGAGCAACCAGGACAGAATTGGCGCCCCAACCAGGACTAGAACCCAGAGTACCAGCACCACAGGCAGAGGATTAGCCTAGTAAGCCAAGGTGCTAGCTATTTTAGCATAATTCTAAACCAGTCTAAGTAAGTTAGGGACATAGAAAGTCTTGGAGACTGTCCCAAGAGTTACCTTTATTTTGTAAATGAAAGATATCAACAGAACGATTATTTTCATAGATTAGCAGTGTCTGTTGTGGTGAGAAAAGAAGGGAGATGGTGGTAAGCAGCTTATCAATTTGTATCCCTGATAATAGAGTTAAAGAACCTTCAGGCGTTCTCAGAGATAATATCATTCCACTTTCAGTCTAACTGCTGAAATTCACTGTTAGTTTGAAAACTAAGCCACACCCTGTATTAGATGATGAATATATTCAGAAAAACATGAGGTTGAATTGACTGACTACTAATTCAGTACAAAAGGGAAGGTTAGAGTGTCATTGAGGCAAAATGGGTTAAAACCAATATATCAAATATGGACACTGGTTAAAGTCCTGACTGTCCCACTTCCAATCCAGCTCCCTGTTAATGTACCCAGGAAATCAGCAGAAAATGGCCAAAGTGTTTGGGTTCTTGCAACCACATGGGAGACCTGGAAAAAGTTCCTGGCTCCTGGCTTCAGCCTAGTCCAACTCTGGTCATTGTGGCCATTTTGAGTAGTGAATCAGCAAATGGAAGATTCTCTCTCTCTCTCTCTCTCTCTCTCTCTCTTTCTCTCTCTCTCTGCAGCTTTCTCTTTCAAATAAACACATAAAGATAGTTTTTTTTTAAAGGGAATGTTTTTTGCTTGTAAAACTGTCCAATTGTGAACTATGCTTTTTTTAATGTGTGTACCCCTTCTGTAGAATTGTACAGGAGACTTGAAGACATAAGCCTTCTTGAAAAGAAGGAAACTACAGTAGAAAAAAATTTAATCTCAATCTAATTCTATTTATTTATTTATCCAATTTGAGAGGCAGACACACATACACACGCACACACACACACACAGATTCCCCTCTCACAGTTTCACTCTCCAAATGCTAGCAACAGCTGGAACTGGGCCAGGCCAAGACAGGAACACAGAACTCAATCCAAGTCTCACACATGGTTGGAAGGGACCCAACTTCTTGAGTCATCATCTGCTGTCTCCCAGAGTGCGCATCAGCAGGAAGCTGGAATCAGGAGCAGAGCCAGGACTCAAATCCTGGCTCTCCAATATGGGATGCTGGTGTCCCAAGTGGCATCTTAAGCATTGCGCCAGTGCCCACCCTAAACTAACTTTTAAATTTCATAATATCATGAATGTCCCAAGTAGCTGCCCTATCAACATTGCATAGGAAATACACATGCATGAAATGGAAATTAATTCCTTACTCATCAAACTAAAAATAAAGTGTGGACATGACTGTTTAGTAACCCAAAGAGCAAGTTTCTACGATATACTAAAATATATTTTGCAAATGTAAAATCATCAAAAATGAACTGTAAGAGTATTCTCAAGCAGTATTGTAAAGTGAAAAAAAAATGCATCACCAGAATTAGAAAAGTAATTTATTAAATATGGCAAGCTGTTTAAGACACAACCTAAGATAGATGACATGCTTATGTGACAGAATGTGAATGATGAGCCTCCTGTATGCACGCCGCCACACTTGGAAACTCGGATTTATTCAGCTATGAAGACTCCTTTTATTCAGCTCAACTGTTCAGACAGAGATTCTCCACAGGAGCATCTGAGCTATTCAATTGTAGGAGGTAAGACGTGGGAGGATTTTGTGCAAGTCCCTCTCACGCTATTGCACAGAGGATCGCGGGAAGCACCTTGCAACTGCTAGCAACATATTCTGAAACAGCTTCAACAAGATGCTTCAACAAGATGGTAGCATTAACCATGCGTAATGTCATTTCTTTCTGTTTTCTTGCCTCCTCATTCTCAGGAAATACAAATAACCGATTCACACTTTGGAGACGAGATTTTGGTCCTCCTTCTCTGGCCGCCACGCAGAATTTCCAGGGTGATGTATTTCAAGGCATTCTGGCCCCTGAGACATTCCAGCTGCTTATCGAAGTTACTGATGAATTAGGTGGGGATACAGTGAGTCAGCTGTCAACCACCACCGCAGTCATAATTCATGTGTTTCCCTGGAGCACGACACAGCCAACTCCCTCTACAATGACAGCTACAACCACAGTAAGCATTAGTGATGAGAAATGGTTCTTAAATAGTCTGAATCAGTCACAAACATAGAAAGTGCTTGGGACCTCTCAAGGGAGTTATCCTCATGTCCTGGCACTCTGAGAGACATCCTGAACATAGCTATGGGGTGCAGCCAAATTCTCATGAACAAAATAACATTGTTATTGAACAAAATTCATTGTCATGAACAAATGACACTGATAGCCATTCATTTTGAATTAAGGAAAATATACCAATGTTGATCATTTTAGGGGTCCTTTTGCCATTTGCTTTAGCATTGTTAGTAATTCCATTGATTCTCATTATTTAAATGAATACTTTTAAAGGTTTTGTTATGTACATAGCACCATATTAGGCAATGAAAATCTCTGAAAAATTTGTTTTCCTGCAGAACACAGAACCATCTGCTGTTTCACTCCCCAAATGTTTTTAAAAGTCACGGCTGTATTAGGCCAAAGATAGGAGCCCAGAACTCAGATTCTCTGAAGTGGATGGCAGGAATTCAAACACCTGAGCCATCATCTGCTGCCTCTAGGGTTCACATTAGCAGGAACATAGAATTGGAAGCAGAGCCAGGACTCAAACCCAAGCACTCCAGTAATGGATGACAGTATCCTGAGTGGTGCCCTAACTATTGCCCCCAATGCCCATCCCAATGATATCATTCTTAAAGAATAAATAATTATTTTTATGTTAAGAGAGAAAGAAAAACTTTTATAATGAGGATGCATGGATGTATCCTGAGAAGAACGTAACATATCCTGAAAACTATTGAAAAGAAAGTGAAACTGGAAGCTAGATTAGTGTCATAAAAAAGAAAGTTCATGGTAGATAGGTAAAGTATTAGAACAAGGGATATCTTGATTATAAAGATGAGATGTTTGAGTGATTACTGAAGACTGGAAGTTATAATGGTTTCACAGCAGAAAAGATAAACACACCATACTTAGTAACCTTTACTAAAATGTGGACAAGGAGAAAATCAATAATATGATAGAATTGGTTTGTGAGGAATATGCTGTTTGATTTCAGACAGTTGGCATCTGGAGAGCCAACTAGGTGTTCATACCCATGTCCTCCTGATAGGGTCATGATGATACTCACATAGTTAAGCTAATCAAATGAAGGTCATTTGAATGAAAATAGCCATTTATTGGAAAAGTTACAGAAAACTCCCCTCACTGTTTTACTTCATAATCAAGGAGTTATACAAAATCATTTAAATATAAATTTGAATATTCTTGATTCAAAGAAAACAACCTGGACTAAGGTGGTGTAGAAATGGTAATTCTCCCAAGTGTGTAGATGAACCTAATGAAAATTCTCACTATGGGAAAGCATTTATGCCACAGACCTCCAATTATTTATAAAAAATAAATCTCAGTCTAAAGGAAGTACCACATGACTGAATATAGCCAGATACATGAGAAGTTAAGATATTATCACTAAGACATAACAGAGAACGAAAACCAAGAACACAGCAGCTATTATCAAATAATAACCTATATTCAGTAAATTCAAGAGATATAAATCATGTTTTAAATTTGCTTACAGCATTAGAGAATATAAAGGTAATATAGAACACTTGAAAAATCTGTCAAATATAGAAATCAAAAATACAATAATTGAAATTTCATCTTGATAGATGGATTTAATGACTGATTAGAAGCAGCTGAAGAGAATTAGGAATTAAGTATGAGTCTAAAAAAACTATCCAGAATGAAATACATGAAGACAAAAGTGATAAAAATAATTCTAATAGACAACATGAAAATGAGAATGAGGAGGGGCTTGTGGTGCCGGGGTTAAATCACCTCTGTGACACCATCATCCCATATCAGACTGCTGCTTTGAGTCTTGGCTACTCAGCTTCTGACCCAGTTGCCTGATAATGTGCCTGGGAAAGAAGTGGCAGATGGCCCAGGTGTCTGGCCCCTCCCACCCATGTGGGAAACCTGGATGAAGTTTCTAACTTTTGGCTTTGGTCTGGCCAGCCCTGGCTGTTGCAGACATTTAGGAGCGAACCAGCAGGTGAAAGATCTGTTTCTCTCTGTTTTTTACTCTCTGTCACTCCATCTTTCAAATAAATAAAAAATCTTTTAAAACTGTGAATGAAGAGAGCTAGTTTATTTTAATTTAGGAGATGTTAGAGGGAGAGAGAAAGATGCAGTACCTAATATTTTTCAAAACTGCTGATAGATATCAAACTATAGACTGAAGAAGTGCCATAATTCCCTAGAGGGAAAATGAAATCTTTCCTTAAATACAACATAGAAAAGCTACATAAAATCCAAATGTAATAAGAAACACTAAAATAAGTCAGGAAAAAAGAGAAAGATTACCTTCAAGAGAGTATATATTGAACAGCTGACTTTATAATGGAAATGATGAAAGCCAAAAAAATGGAAGTGTTCAAGTCACTGTAAGAAAATAAGTGTCAAACTAGAAGCCTCTAAAGCCTGTTGAGATTTGATTTATGGCCTAACATGTGTGATCAAATGTTGTAAATGTTCCCACAGATCTCTGGTACCATGGATTTCACAGGTACATGGATTTCACTCAGAAATGGTAAAAGGATGACAGTTTCAAGAAACTATATTGGCAGTTGATGAACATTAAGAATTGTAGACTGTAGTAGCAAAGATAATAAATAAACTTCAGGACAAGGTGTTTAGCCTAGTTGTCAAGACATCTGTGTCCCAAGCTGGAAAACCTGGGTTTAAGTTCTGGTTCCAGCTCCTTGTTCTTGCTCCTTGCTAATGCAAACCGTGGAAGTCAGTGATGTCAGTGGTCATGACTTAAGTAACTGGGTTTCTAGAGATTTGGATTGTGTTTTCAGCTCTCATCTGTGGCCTTGGCCCAAGCCTGGCCATTGTGGGCATTTGGGGAGTGAACCAGCGGGTGGGAAATCTCCCCCTCTCTCTTTTTCTCTCTCTCATTCTTGCTACCTCTTAAATAAGTGAGAAAACATTTAAATATATAAACTTTAGAAAAAAATATGAGAATATCCTTAATAACTTGGGGGGTAGGACAAAATTTCTTAAATAAGGTCTGAAAAGTTAGCCATAAGGAAAATTTTGAGAAAATTAAATATATTTGAGTATTGTAAAATGAATAACTTGCTTCATAATAATCTGGGCTGGGGAGAAATACATAAGAATAAAGATTCAGTAAAATGGGGCATAAATTGATAGGTGTTTAGACAGTGAGATGGGTACCTGGTGGATAATTAGATATATTTTTAGGTTTCTCTATGTGTGTTAGGTATCACCAAAAAATGGTAAAATAATTGAAAGGGAAATAATCTGAAATGTCAATGCACTTTGTTAAATTATTATATTTAATATGGCAAATTATTCACCCAAAAAAATCTCATGAGTGAAATACTTCAGTTGTTCAGAACTCTATTAAAAATTTGCTAGTTGCTTTGGAGCTTTTTGTTATACATTCGATATAATCAAACCCAACAATCTAGGATTTGAAGCCTTAATATTCTCCTGTTTGTCAGTTAATTAGTTCTTAGTCTTTCCACCCCAGAGAGTGTGACCTTGGGACTTTCTTTCACATTCCATAGATATGGATTCAAGTAATTTTACAAGTCAGGACAATACTGCCTCCAACTAAGTGATACTGTTGATAATATTGTCAGATGCTATAATAACATTGCAAACAGTTAAAATGTGTTGTTATCATTCCTGGCTCAACTTGAACTTCTCCTTCCTCTCCTGAGTCAATCTTCTTTGCTGGATCTTGCTCCTGTGGGAGAGATTATTTTAGCTTGCACTGCTGTGAAAAAAGAAAATCTCCTGACTTATGTTCACACATGGATTGCTACTTACAAAATTCCTGATTAATAAAGCAAAATCTAGCCAAGGAGAAGGCATTCCAGTAAGACATAAGAGGCAAAATAAACAAATGCTGCTGCAAGATGTGAAAGTATTTAAATTTGTAGTTGAGTGATATTGTGACCCATATGCTTCCTTTTAATGGAAGGTTACTAAATGTGTCATTGAGTAGCTAAAATTTATACCTGTGAATGTTATGAAATTATCCAGCAAAGATCAACTGCGTCTAGAGCTATCTGTGTACCTAGCAACTGCATGGCTCAACAAGGAGAATAATTAGAGAAAAATCTTCCAGTTGTCCCTAATGGAATAGCCGATGAGAAGGGACTTACATAACAAGGATTCATGTTCAGAAAAATGAAGGGATATTAGGACAAAGAGTTGAAGATATCTGTACACCAAAATAAGGCTATGAAATTTATTTTCCCATTGTGGGGAGAGATCTAAAGAGGGATGGCTCGATGAGGGTGACAGGATTAGGTACTTCTAAGTGTGTGTGTGAGGGAGGAGAACCCTTGAGTGGGAAATCAGTGGTGCAGAGAGAAGTCCGAGAAGTGGGCATTTGGTGCTGTGGCTAAGTCACTGCTTGGGAAGCCTGTATCCCATAGTGGAGTGCCTGGGGTAGAGTTCAGGCTCTGCTTCCGATCCTAGCTTCTTACTAATACACAAGTGGTGGCTCAAGTACTTGAGTCCCTACCACCCAGCTGGGAGACCCAGGATGAATGAAGTGCTCGTGGATTTAGCCTGGCGTAGCCTCAGCTCTTGCGGGCGTTTGGAGAGTGAACCAGTGGATGGAATTCTTTGTCTCTCTCTGCCTTTCAAATGAAGTGAAAATAAATAAAAAGCTTGAAATGTAACTAGTTAAGAGGTTGTTTTGATAATTCAGATAAGAGTTAGGCCCTACAATAGTGCAAGGATACTTTATGTGGAAGTTAATCATTACCTCCAAGATATACATAAGTAATAAAAATTATTATCTATTTTGTCTGAAGTCTGTGTATTACAATACATATATTTACAGTACACCATGGGAAATAAAATTTCCCTTAGGATTTAGCCATTATTGCTATAAGCTGTATCTTTTATTATTATTATTACAAGGCAGATCTTTCTATTTAGAATGTTGAATGAGATACAAAGACTTAAAAA